TACTTCTTGCTACTGGTCCAATTTTATGACTAAGCTGGAGAATCAGAGACAAATTTGTAGTTTCTCTTTATGTACTGTACACTTGAAAGCATGCATTAAATCCAATCATCTTCCTGCCTTTATCCCTTTCACAAATGATTTTGTTTGGTGACTGACCGTGCCAGTGGGATACCCTTTCATCTCTGCTGCTTTGTATATGGAATGTTCTAGTTTCTCAGTAAAAAATGAAATAAAGAAAGTGATGGTGGCAGAGAGGTGAAAAGAATATGCAACCCAGCTCTGTATGGTTCAGAAAATAAGTTTGGGCCCAGTTGGAGGAATGTCACTTGCTTTTCTAGTTGGTGCAGTAGACATTGGAAAGAACCCAAGTCAGTTATTTTTTCCCCTTTCCTTTTCTCTTTTTGGTCACTGTATCATCCAGATGACGGAACATGAAGTCTGTAAGGCAAATATATGTTTCTCAGTTCATCCCACTGGTGATATGACATATTGATTTTCCCTTATTATTATTTAAAGGTGCCTCTAGATCCTGTCTTTTATATCATCATTAGAATTTAAATGGGAAGTTGGGAGTAGTTATATCAGGCAAAGCTAGTCTGCTATTCGTTTAATGTAGAGTTTTACATTTTATTAAAATCTGAAATTCATATAGTCAGAAGTCCGTGGGGAGTCAAGGAGACTGAGGAACAAGCAGTTATAGGTCAGACAGAATGGCCACAAAGATGTCATTTTCTACAAGTAAATTTTTCCTTCATTTTTTTAAGCTGAGGACAGAGATGAGGACAAGCATAAAAATATAAACTTTTATATAGTTTGCCTTTGTTTTTCAGCCTTGCCTAAACATACCCTTAATATTTTAATTAGAATTGATAGAAGTAAACACAGAATTTATCCTTTTCTCTTAGTGTTCAAAAAAATATTACTAGTGATTCTTAGATGTCCAAAACTCAATATTGAATCCCTAAAGAAGTGTATGATAAAAAGTAGTAAAGTTTATAACCATTCTTCACGAAATAATTATATTGTTGGTCTGGTTCAGTGGTTTTCAGCTAGGGGTGTGCATGAAATACCCTATGACATTTTTTCCCCTCATTTATTTTACTGTGGTAAAATGCATGTAATATAAAACTTACCATCTTAACCATCTTTAAATGTAATTCCGTGGCATGAAGTACATTCACATTGCTGTGCAACCATCACCAGCATCCATCTCCAGAGCTCTTTTCACCTTGTCCGTATTAAACAATACCTCCCAATTCTCCCTTCCCTCTAGCTTCTGGCAATCACCATTCTATTTTACGTCTTTATGAATTTGATTATACTAGGTACCCCATAAAAGTGGAATCATACAGTATTTGTCCTTCTGTGATTGACTTATTTCACTTAGCATAAATGTCCTCAAGGTTCATCCATGTTGTCTTTGTGTTGTAAGTCCCTTCCTTTTTAAAGTCTGAATAGTATTCCATAGCGTGCATATACTGCATTTTGTTTTGCCCTTCGTCCGATGGTGGACTCTGGATTTGCCTCTATCTTTTGGCCATTGTGACTAATGCTGCTATGAGCACAGGTGTACCAATATCTCTTTGGAATCTTGCTTTCAATTCTTTTGAGTATATACTCAGAAGTGGAACTTCTGGATCATATGGTAATTCTGTGTTTAATTTTTTTGAGGAATCTTTATACTATTTTCCTTAGCAGCTGCACAATTTTACATTTGAACCAGTAACACACAAATCTTTCAACTTCTCTTCCTCTTTGCCAACACTTTTTGTCTTTTTGATAGTAGCCATCCTAATGGATGGTAATCTCATTGTAGTTTTGATCTGTATTGCAATGATGGTTAGTGACACTGAGCATCTTCTCATACCGAAATAATCACAAAAATCAAACCCAAGCTTGCAGACACTGAAGACTTAGACAAACAAAAGTAGAACTAGCAACAGATTCCCAGCAAGATCTGACTGCCCGCCAGGCAAAAGATATCAGACAATAACAGGCTGAACAGGGCGCGGAAGAACACCTACACCAAAATTTGCTTTGATGTCAGTCTAAACAATTGAGGCAGAGTCTTCTGTTCTGGGATTCTAGCCTAGACTATAAAAAAGGCCAAGGTACGAACATCATCCTAGCCAAGAATGTTCTTCGTGTTAAGTTTGCCTGTTCATGTTTATATTGTGGCAATCTCACTAAGGGTTTGGCATAACCCGTCCTTCCCTTTCATTTCTGTAATAACCTCAACAGGGCAGGTAATCTCTAATGAGCACCTGGGGAACAATGACACCTACTGTTTGAGCTCCTGTAGCTGCCATAAACTTGCCACATGGGACAATGGCAGGTGTAGATTTGTAGCTACTATTTTTTTCCTTTAAAAAAAGGACAAAATGGCTCTGTGGTGAATTAGGTTAGGCTGAAGAAGTAGTTGCTTCAGAGAACACAGAGTTCTTATCACAGAAGATATTTAATCTAGAATAAGAATATATGAATGCATGTCTACATAATGTAGGGTATAACAGCCCTCCCTTACTACAAAAAAGACTGAAGGCAATTTAAATGTACAGACGACAAAGATGGGGTTCATCCATGACTGTTAAAGGAGGACCGCAATCACAGACACTGAAATTCTACAGAGTGAAAAGAGGAGCAAGGTAGTGACTGAAATGGCCTGTCTGGTTCCCTGGTCTGCATTCCACCGCCCCTCCCCGAGCCACAGGAAGGCCTGGAATCTCCCACGGTACACCGCATGCTCTCCATCTTGCTCCTCTACCGCAAGCACAGACCCTATCTCGTTACAAATAATGCACCAGGTCTCCACTCCAATAGCTGGATGTCTGTCTGCCCTCATATGAGTTCCTTTATGAGAGAGAGAGAGAGAGAGAGAGAGAGAGAGAGAGAGACACGGGGGGTGGGGGGGAATGAGAGAGAAAAAAGATAGACTTGTTCCACTTATTTATGCATTCACTGGTGGATTCTGGGACGTGCCCCAACCAGAGAGCAAACCCGCAACCTTGGCGTACAGGGACAACACTCTAACTAACTGAGCCACCCAGTCAGGGCTGTACCAACCTCATTTTAACATAATTTCTAAGATTATAAAATAATGTTATTCAGAAAAAAAACTACATGTGAAAATTTAATTTCAGGCCAAATAATTATGATTTTTGCATTTATAAAATAGCTCCACTAAGTTTAAATTTCCCTCATGTGAAAAGAATTCCTTCTGGCAACTTCCTTTTTTTCAACTTTACCTCTACAGTAAAATGTGGGTTAGTATATATATTCATTCTTTTTTCTAACTCTTATCATATTTTAGTTTTTATGACTCTTAACATTAAAAATAGCTTTTATCAAGAGTTCCATAATATATTAATTTTCTTTATATTCTTTTACTTTCATTTTGTAAGTGCAGAATTTCTTTTGGAGACTTCATTTTAGTCTAGATAATTACAAAAATTATCACACTATTTAAACAAAACTGTGTGTCCTTGAAGATTTATGACTTATAAACCCATTTTTTTTCCCATTTGTTTTTTACAGTAGTGGTTAAAAAAATAAAATTTTAACACCAAATAAAACATAGATTGATGTTATTCAGAGTAATAAAAATAAGACATTCAGAGAACCAATAGTTTTCATTAGTTGGCAAGACCTTGAGTTGTAATCTTCTCTACTATATAAAACTCAGTTTCCATTACTATGTGATAATCACTTGTTTGATACTGTCATGTGCATTTACATAATGAATGCCAGAGTCACCATGTGCTCAGCAACAACATCTCATGTGTTTATAGTAATTGCACAGCTGAGATACCCTACGTACCAGAATATGCTGATTTGGTTGGCAGGAAACCAGGATGAATCAAATGGACCACCATACTGCATTGACTGAAACCTTAAATGTTTTCTCTCTTGCCACAAAGTGATTATATAATATGCTTCAATTCACCGAAGGCCAGAAAACTACTGAAAAGTACTTACTTGGCTGAGCCTGAAGTCCTATGACACATTTCTGAACTATTGGTGGTTGAATTAACGTCTGAATATAATGATTGAACGAATCAGATTCAAAAATAAATACACAAAGTGTGTATCATATATCCTGACACTTATTTTTTTTAAATTGATTTCAAGATTGAGAAAGGATTTTTTAAAAACTTGAGCAATTTTAACTTTAATTTATATGATCATTATATTTTCTAAGCCACTGAGGTAGGTAGGTAGCGAGAGTAAGAAAAATTTTGTTCTAGGTTATCCCTAAGTTGAACTGTTCACTAAAAATCACATCAATATAGCAAATGTTTTAGTCTAGAGAGACGTGACCCACTTTAATATTCTGTAAACTTACCTGCTTTAATAGTTACTATTTTAGCATTATAAGCTTTAGAAAATAATCCTAACTCCACAAACTCGATGAATATTTAGTTTCTCATGCCACTACTATATAGGAAATGTTTTAACATTAGCTAAGGCTTCTTCAGTAAGTAAGCCTTGTATTCATACCCCTCCCCGACCTGCATGTGTGAGTGTGTGTGTACACACTGAAAAGAGATTTTTAAAATTCGGGTTACAGCCTAATTATCAGTCAGTCTTGAAATTCAAATGGCTAGCTTAACATTTCTGAATTTAAAACAAAGCATCTTATTTTATTTATTTTTTATCCTTGACACTATTACAGATGTTCCCCATTTCCCCCCTTTGACCTCCACCACCCAGTCCTTCCCTGGCCTTCACCACATTGTTGTCTGTGTCCATGGACTATGCATATATGCATATATGTTCTTTCAATTTTAGTGTTTTCAATGATATTAAGACTTTTTTAAGATTTGTTAAACCAAAGAGAGGAAAACCAGAGAATGAACAGCATGGTGAGGGGTTCCAATAAGCTTAGTCTGGCCATGGTGTAGAATATTTTATTGAAAAAAATTAAAATGGGCAAATAAACCCAAAGAAGCCTTAACCATCCTCCACTCCCTATAACAGACCAACCAAAGACAAATAAATACCTCAGATAGAAAGGTGACAGCGGTCTTTCATCTTCCTGCGAACTAAAAGAAAAACAAATTTTGAATTAATAGAATTTCTGTTAATATTATAACACATCAATTTCACTAAAATTCTGTCCTACCTGTCACAAATTTTGTTTTGGTTCATTAGAGCTAAACTCAGGATGAAGGAAGATTTAGTAATGCACACCTACCTTGGACCTAACCAAAGTCAATTACTTCTTCATGGGAGACTATCAAGGAGGTTTCTTTCTAAATTAGCTTAAGGCAAAAATAATTCACATGGTAACTTTCAAGATGCAGCTTTTTACTACCTTATTCTACAATTCCAATTCAAGTACTCCTACATTACACATAAACTTTTAAATTATTTCATACTTAGTTATTTCAATAAAGCTAATTATAGCTCATTAACATGATGATGAAAATAAGAAACAGCCCTCAACATTTTCCTGTGAAGGTGTGAGCCACTTTGAAAATGACACCCTAAGAATGTGAAGCTCAGCAGTAAACAGCACTCAGGAGTATTAACGGGTATAGATAATATGAAAGAACATAAATGAAATCTAAAAGTAGTTTACATTCTTTAAACAATATGGAAGCAATGTGAAGCTTAATATAAAAATATTTCATTAAAAATGTAAAATATATTCCACAATAAAATAGTTTTCTTCTTTAACATGTTTTTCTTCTTCTGATAAATGACCTCAAAACAAAAGATGAGTCTCTCTCCCCTTCAGTGACTACTGGAGTGGTCTTTGAACTTTTTTGACTATGTGCTCATATAAAATGAGGGTTTTAAAAAAATATTTCATGAATTTGTCTGTCATCCACGCACAGGGACCATGTCAATCTGTGTTGTTGCAATTTTAGTACATGTGCTGCCAAAGCAAGCACTAAAATTAGGTTTTAAGCAGCCACATCCCTCAATATGTGACTTAGTATATGACTAAGTATCTATCTATATTAATTATGCACACCATTAAAAAAAATAAAAGTAGAAATGTAAAGTAAAAGATAAAATTAACTAGAAGCTCTAATATTTTCTTCTTGTACCCCCATTGTTAACCTTACACACCATTTGTGGTCTGCATCACTTTTGGGAAAGCAACTAGTTAACTTCTGTTCATTCTTCCCTCTCCCCCCATCTTATTTTAAAATTTCCTTAAGCTTCATTAATGTAAAGGGAAAAGTTTGCTTCAATTGGTAATGTTACACAGGCAATCACCAAAATCTGATTACAAAGTTATTGTGTAAAACACACACACACACACACACACACCAAAATCTGATTACAAAGTTATTGTGTAAAACACACACACACACACACACACACACACACACACACACACACACCGCCCCCCCCCCCCCCCGTAATGGAAGCTGCAAAGGTCTTAACATTTTATCTTACTTTATTTTTAATTTAAAAAATATTTTATTTATTTTTTTTTTAGAGAGGGAAAGGGAGGGAGAAAGAGAGGGACAGAAACATCAATGTGTGGTTGCCTCTGCCCACACTGGGGACCGGGCCTGCAACCTGGGCCTGTGCCCTCACTGGGAATCGAAACAGTGGCCTTAGGTTCACAGGCCTAAGCCACAGCAGCCAGGCAATCTTAACATTTTAATTGGAAGATGGCACTAATTCATTCTCATGAATTGGTTTCCAATTCCAATATCTCTTAGCTGTCCTAATGTTTATGATGCCAAAGATTTTAATGTTTGTAACTGATTGTGCCAATTCTTCCCAAGTGAAGGGTAAGTGGTGAATCAGCTTCATTATCAACTCTAATGAGGATGAGCTGAGGCAAACCTTAATGGAGTTAGGTTGCAGAGCTGAAAAGATAGAAGCAACAACACCTGAGACATGTCCAGGTGTCTTGGGAAGAAACCATTTGGAGCAGTTCTATTATAGGAAGTGATAACTTTAAGCCAAACTGATACAAGGGGCTTACACATTTAACTTCAAACTATTCTGTGAAAGTACTTAAAACAAATATCAAAGTATTAGAATTAAGTTTGTTTCCTAATCAAGATTCAGTGTCAATAAGTACTATTTATGACCAACATTCCACAAAAAGTCTGCAACTAAAAATGTTATGATTTTATTTTAGAAAAATTGCCTCCATGTGTTATTTAACTGGCACCTTACTAATACTGTTTTGTTTAGAACAGATCCTTAACTCAAAACATGTAACAAATTATAATGAAAATTAACAAGGGTACTTTAGTGAACATTACATTATAAATGTGGTTGGTTTTCTTAGAATTTAGTAGTGCTTCTGGGCAATGATTTACATGATGCAGGGATATGAACACAGCTGTTCATGTGTGTGGCTAATGCTATTTTTTAAAAAATATGTCTGCTAAACCTTTTTGTAGCAGAGACAATAAAAATCAATCCTTTCTTTCTTTACACCTTCTCTCCCTCAATCAGCAGCAGTCAACAGAACAGCAGTCCATGCCCAGTAACCAAGAATATAATTTGAAAAGAAAATGAGGATAAATAATCAACTTTGATAGTTAATTAGCGTATTTTTCTTTCCTCTTTCATAAAAGTACCCATGTGTAGAGTTTAGTAATGTAATCTTGATAAAGCTATACTTTCTGAAACAAATAAAACATTGATTTCAAATGGATTAAATCAATTAATTCTAAAAATCAATTTAAAACACTGAGGTTAAAGCAATTTTAAGGAAAAATGGCCAAGGACAATTCTACCAAATAGAATTGAGAGAATAAACTTTCCCACAAAACTTACACATCAGAATGCAAAACATTTGAAAAGGTTACCATTTCTATATCTGAGCAAAATGGGTATGGTACTATTATTACACGCCCCTACACGTCTATTTATAGAGGTTATTTAGGCCTATTTTGGGTTTTGTGTCACTCTCTCAGGCATATCCAATGATATTAAATGTCATTTTTTGCCTAAATTTTAAATTGAGAATTAATTCTGATGCACTTTTAATTTTTAAAAATAAACACATGTAATGTGAATGAAAGAGTATGTGTCATGAAATTAAGCAAATGACAAACTGTAATACCTTGGAGTTCATTCAATTTCCTCTTCAGTTCCTAGTATAAACTTCATGTTTTAATTATTTATGTTTGCTGACTCTGAATAATGGCCAAGCTTAAGCAGCTAATTAACTTGCTTTAAAACAAACAAACAAACAAACAAACAAACATATATTGAGAGATTTGGGCAATTAGCTCATGTATGTCAGGCAATCTGGTGCTTAACGTCCTCATACATGTGGTGTTATATTCTCTTGATACTGCCTTTGGGAAAAACATTTATCGAATAAACCAAAGTAATAGTACAAGTCTCAGAAGCTACAAATGAGAGTGAAAATAACACAGATATTAGGGTTTTAGCAGGGTCCTATGGTGCAACATTGGTAAATGCAGATTTAGAATCTTCATGAGCTGCAGTAATTCCTAAACTGAAACCACTGAATGCAATGCCAATCAATTATGGCAGCTAATTGAAATAATGAAAATCATGGTGTTTTGTATGTCTAAGAAAAATCAAATATCATTGGGAGAATTCCCAGAGTGAGGCATTCAGATTGGACTTTCAATTACTGGATCAAACCACCATTCCGTTCAATTCCCTTTTGAAACATTTCAATTAGTTCACTTTCTAATTGGTTAATGTGGCTGGCTGCTGGGAAACGCCCTGTCTGGTTTCAGAAACTGCAGCCCCGCTGACAGGCAGGAGGGTCCCAAGGCTGGAGCTGAGCAAGGAGGCGTTGGTAAAACAGGCCACTGAGGAACATAACCTGTCTCCCTGCCCCTGCCTCCCTCACATCACCCTGCTTGGCCCTGGAGGATAGCTGGTTAGTCATTGATGGGCAAGACACCTCGATGGAAGGGGCAACCGAAGACAGGCAGAGCTGCAGTGGGCATCAAGGAAAAAACTTGGGGGACATGGAGAGAGGGTGAAAGACCCTCACCCCTCTGCTTTGATACGGCTGGGGTCCTCATTCTATCTGAAAGAATTCTCCTTATTTCCTGGCTGTCTTGCCCTCCCCTTGCCTGGCTCAGGTTTGAAATAATACTGGAGACAGCCCTAAAACTGGATCTGGTGGATCATGGAGGAAATAAGGCCTAGAAGTAAATTCTTCAAAGCATGCTTTGTTTTTCCCTCAAAAGCTATGATAACCAGCTCATGCTGGGAAGGAAATTTACATTATTCATAGACCCTGACCCTAAACCCTTTGGCATTCTTATGTTTACACTCTCATGTTTACTCGTCTCCTCTTAGACCCATGTAAATCAGTGTGTTCCTACCATTTGTTTTCCTCAACATCATCTATCCTCCGTGAACATTAACATACTGATGTAATGAGATCACCCGTACATTCCTATTATTTAGCCCCACTGATAACCCTTTCAATGAAAGTCTTTGGACAAAGGGGCTTGCTGCCTTCTCCACTAGAGGGAAGAGCCATCCCCTCTCCTGGCAGACAGAGAAGTGTCTGAAATGATTTATTCTTTCCCCCGACTGGTGACAACCCCAGGACGGGCTCTGCGGGATTCAGAGCCCATGCTCCCACCTCAGCTGGCCGCCCGGACAGGGATCCTCAGATCCAGAGTCCAGCATCCCTCCCACAGGTGGCTACCAAAATAATTAATGTAATCTGCATATTTAGTTATACACTTCAAATATATTTTCAAGTGATTTGAGTTAGAAGAAATATTTGTGTTTCTTGATGATGGAAAAATAAGTAAATGCTAAGGATTAGGTCCCATTCATTGGAAAAGCTAGGAAAACCCTCTATGAGGGCTTAAAAACAAAAACAGCAAAAGGGAAAGAGGAAGTGAAGGACAAGTGAAAGGATAAAATTAAAAGTACTAAATAAACATTTTTATGGAATTCAGGTTTTTTCCTCATGTTGCACCAGAATGTGCTACAAAGAATTTTCTTAGAGAATGATTGGGTAAGTAAAGTTAGCACATTTTCTTTCCTTCCTCTTTCTGCAAAACACAAGAGCCACGCATTCTGGACCATTTTGGATTTATTCAGAGTCTCA